CCCTTAGTTGATTGGAAAAGAAACTAGAATGTAATAAGGCATAAAAAACAAAGGAATGCACAATTCTAAATTAGACACAAAATTTAAACTTTTTTTTTTCTTATAGAGATGCATAAAATTTTAACAAAATGAATGCAATGGCTTAGGTCATTCTCATCAAATTTGGCAGGGGACCATATAAAACATTCCAAAAGGTTTTTACTCAATTTTTAATTATTAAAATGTCCTGGTGACCATATATTTGCTGGCAAGCACAAATTTCAGAAGTCTCAAATCACTTATCTAGTCACCAGATCTATCAACAAATAGACAAGTATTGTCAAGACAACGTGGGGGTTCAAAAACCCCTCCCCACCTAATAGACAAACATTCATTATTTCCATAATCAATTAATGCCATTTGATCAGTTCATATTTCAATAATCTAAGAATGATTCCACAAAATGTGTTCAATGATAATTAAATAGAATCCATGGGATTTATAGCCAAAGCAAGAAATGGATACTTCTGTACGCAACATTTTACAGAATATTATTTACAAAATGGGTTACTAATACCTTAACTTTCATAAGCGGAATGACAGTGAAATACACATGCCCACTTACACTGAACAAAAATGATTGTGTAAGTTAGCACAAAAATACGCAAAAACCAAGTTGGTAAATCACACTCTCAACCAAGAACATAGCACAGAACTTTTCACACTCCTTTCGTACTGTTACTTCACAGAGATCAAAGATGCACAAAAATGAACACTATTCAATATTCAACAAAGAACGATTATGATAAACTTGCAGGAAAATTTAGGCTAAGTAGAAATTCATTTTCTTTCTTGATGATACAACTAATATTCTTCATTCACACATTGTGGACACAAGACACTTAAGATAATGTGCACCACTGAAATTCTGCATGAAGTTGCACTCATCTGAACCGATTTTCATAACCCTGTACAACAGAATATCTTGAAATTATGTTTCTCTCCTCAGTTGTACTCTTTATTTACCTGGTGCCTCTTCAACATGTCCAGGCCAAGCAACATGTCCATAGGCTGCTGCTCCAGCACCGAGAATGAGGTAGTCAGGTAGTCGTTCTCAATCTGGATCTGCACCATATGAATGCGCCCAATAATCCTCTGCACACCCACTCCCTTCGCGATACCAGCCCAACGTGTGTCCACAAGGCGCATGATATGACAGCGCTCAGCACATGCCGCAGACATTATCGTAGTCTGAGCACCTGCAGGTAAGATGGTATTTCAGATCATTACAATGGCAACAAAGAGCCTCTACACATTCTTCAGACTACCTTTTTAAAGGCAAAATTAAAGGCAATATAAGATAACATTTAGCTTCACAAATACTGTGACTAACGTAATCACAAAAACAATTGTTCATCTTGTACTTCGATAACATTTTCCACTTCCTGTTCACTAACCAGAGTCTATAAAGGCTTTAACTGGGAAGCCATTAACTCGGCAATTGATGTACAACATGACAACAGTTCCAAAAGTTTCTGGATTATATTCCATAGCTGCTTCCATATTAGCTTCAATATTTTTCTGACGGATTTCCTCTGCAATCAGTCGCTGTGCTTCAATGTCAAAAGGATGAGCGTTCATCATTCGTATTCTCTGCCTTTCTCGCTCGGCACGAGCTTCAACCTGCTCCTTCAGCACAGCAGCAAAGTTGTCTGAAAATGATCCAATAATGAATTTTAAATACAGCATAACTTACTTTATATATAGTACCATCTGCACTTTTAGCAACATTGGTCCAGAAAATTTCTACAACAGTTTACTATCCAGCATACCCCACTAATTAATTCTTTTGTGAACAAATAAAATAAGTTTAAATTATTTATAAAATATGAAATATAAAGTGTGTTTCATGTAAGATGTCATCTGAGGCAGCTTATAAGTTCATTTTAATTTCTTAGGCATAAAATTACTAAATTAATGAAAAATGATAGTAGCAAACCTTGTCCAGATGTACAATGTTTCCCACTACATAAACATGTATAAATTTAATGAAGCATTGTTTGTTGACAAGTACAAGTAATTACGATAAACTACACTCAGCTCTACAGAATTGCATCTTCTTTGATTACAACAAGAAAATCAAAAACAACCCAAAGACTTTGCAGTTAGCTGCTGAGAAAGAAGTTCAATTTACTCACTACAACACCTCATAGAACAAATACATAATTTTTTAAAGATTTTGTGGAGAAAAAAAATTTCCTGCTGAGCAGATAAATGACAGATTACTTAAGATATAAAAAGGTTACAGCAGAACTGTCAAAACGTCCAATATCTATTTTGATGTTACAATTTGGATTAACTGCAATGTCTAGATGACAATAATGTCTAAAACTTACTTTTCCTGTTGTGGAAGGTTTACTTATCCTCTTCTGTATGAACTATGCTTTGTTTAGATACTTAATAAATTATAGACAGTGAGCCATTATATACTTTTTCTTTATGCAAGCTCAAAAAAATGACAAAGCAGTGTCTAGAAACATATTTTATTTTTTTAAATTTATCTTATACAAAATGTCTAAGCAAAACAAGAAAATGATTTATTGAATGTTGCACTCTAGCAGAAATGTCAACTACTACAGGTTGCAAATTCAAATTCACAATTTCAAGACACAGTAGTCCTTTAATGATTTTCAGTATCCTTTCTCATCAAAATGAAAACCTTTCAAAAACAAAAACTACCAACAATATACAACATAAAACGAAACAAATTCCAGAGTATGCGATGTTTATTTCATTATCAGTGTACACTATTTCAACATTCTGCTCTTTCAAACAAATTCAGATGTGCTTCTTAGTCCTTACCTAAACTGCCAGAGAGCAGGGCATCTGCTAACCGAGGGTTGTTTTGCTTCAAGAGGGCAAGTTGATCAGGGTTGGCAAGAAACATGTCTCGGATTAATTTTGGGTCTTCTTCTGCAGCTCTTCCCGGGCCAACTGAAGGGCCCCCAGGGCCCCTACTGCTGCCTGCACCCATTTGAGGGACTTGAATATTACTGAAGTCCAGGAATGGAACATTATCTAAAGCACAGTAACCTCAAAAATTAGAATAAAATCCTTTGAAGAAATATGACCATGCACTGTAAAACTTGCAACAAACATTAAACAAAACTGCAACTGGAAGAGGACTGAAAGCAAAGCAAAGCATTGCATACAGTTCATTAAATATACAGACTGCCATTCACAACTTACCAGAAAGAAGGCTTGAATTTGATCCTAACATGTGCTGCAATATCACAATGTCTCCATCACGAATGCCAAGTTCCTTCAGAGATTTCTTTTCGTCCATTAGAGGTCTACCATTAAATGCGATAACAATTTCATGAGCAGGATGGCCTGTTTCTACTTCACAAAATGCCTTGAAATTCTCAAGCTCCAAATCCTCACTAACATCCAGCACAAACATTTCGTCGGAAAGCGTTGTAACTGTGACCTTCATGATGACCACTTAGACCTGTTCGGTCAGCGATCCTAATATTTCAAAAAATGTTCGACCGAAACTGTTTACTAATCACAACTCTGTCAAATTTCGCCGACACCTAAAACAGCTAACTCACCCCGCCATGTTTACCACCCAATTCTACCAACTGTTGGTAGAATTGGAAACCTGACACAATCTTCACAAATGCACGAGCAAGAGAATTTTCAAAAGTAAAGGTAGAATAAAGTTCCTAACGAAAATAGGATCTGGCAATAGAAATGTATAGGTGGGATAACGCATCAATTTTTAATTAATAGTTAGAAATATTAATTTAATTTTTGAAAAGTGGATAAGATGTTTTCTTCACAGAATAAATAGAATGAGAATCTGATGAGAATGAAATTTCATTTCTAGAATTTCGTAAGTCGTGTACTATCTACGTCAGATAGACGTCATTTCACTCCATACAAATCTTTGTTGAGTAATCGTGTGGAAATTTTGAAACAAAAATAGACACATTTACTTTTGTAAGGATGGGTGACACTATATCCACAAGAGTCCATTCTTCGGTATTAAAAGTGAGGGGAAAATGTTTTGATATCGTTGGGTTCTGAATAGCTACTGTAGTTTTTCATTATGTTGTGAATGTTATTTATTACTACTTCTTTATATTTACACGGTATTTGGGGGTATTTTACACTATATAAACTTACGATGAAGTATAAGAAGCTTCAATTGTTCAGAACAGTTTAGTTTTCTTGTACTATTACAAGAAAAGGCACTTACATTACTTAATTACTACTTTTCTTTGATCCACCTATACCGTGGGTGCACCTTATTTTCAAAAATTCAAAACATACGCCCCTATCACATTAACCTACACCGTGGCCATTATTGAGTGACGATCATAATCAAGTAAATCAATCGACCACAGAAACTGCTCCATTATTGAATTATACGAACATTCGTAGGATCGCTACATATTTCATTGGGGACAAATCAACTCTTTTTGCTCAATTTTCTTTGATTTTCCTTTTAGCCGCTTATTATGTTAAATGTGAGTGAATGATAAGATAGTTATTATCCCTTATCGTACTCAACGAGAAAGAATCCACTCAACACCGAGAAGACAGAATAAACGCGAAAGACAGTGCTCATAAGATACACAGTGTAAGATATGAACAAATTGATAAAATATGAACAATTGGGTCTCGTACAATGAATTATTTCCAGTATTTTAATGACTTTTAGGGCCCGCTTGCTACATCGCAACGCATTTCCGAATTGGCGACGACTTTCGTAATTAAACAACAAATTAAAATTATCCAACATGAATTTAATTTTCAGACTATGCGCCTAATTACATTGCTTCCGTTTGCTAGCATGTTCGAATTATAAAGCAACGATTAAACAACGCAATGTAAACAAGACGACGAACTGCCATCGTTGGTTCCCATCTTTCGTTCTCCACTCGCAGCAGATTCGTTCGTTATTCCGTGGTGAGGACGAGGCAGAGGACACTGACCTCTATAATATTTAGATATCAGTGGTTAAAGGATGAAATTATTAATAAAGCATTTGAGGAAGTGTAATAACCGAACAATGTTTGGCTGAGACAATGAAACGTTTTTGGCTACAGCTCGTATACTCGCACAGTCGTGCTAAGAACAGTTGAACAGCAAATGGGCTTCCCAGTGGTTAAGCGTCCGCAGCAAGCGGACGCAGTATAGGAGCGCTGTCGTGCCGTCCGTGCCGCAGCGCGGGCGCGAAGCCAACGCCGCCTGCCCTGAACGGCGCGCTGCCGCGTCAGCTCTCTGGGGCGCAGGACCTGCGCGACCGGAGCCCGTTGCCGTTGCTGCTACGCGCCCGCTCCCGCGCTCGCGCCATCTCCCGCGCTTGCGCCCCGACCATCTGATGCTGCCGCCGCTCCTGCACAAACGGACGAAAGGTGAGTGGATGTGCTGCGCAGCGACCGCATCAGTTTCAACAACACGCACATTCTTGCTCTTCCCACAACTGGCGAGATGTCAACGGGCTTTTGGAGGGGACACAACACTAGTGTTTTTGAATATCGTGGTTGCTGCTGAGAGAGCTGTGCGGGTGAGCGGGAGATACACGAAAGGGAGGGAGAGCGCGGGAGACAGGATGAGAGAGCTGGGCGTGAAATGAGAGGGAAAGAGTGTCGTCGGGGGAGAACTGGACATGAAGATAAGAGTGGAAGAAAGTAGGAAGGGAGAGAAATGATACTAATGCCAGGTTGGGATGCGGATCGTGAAAAAGGTATTAAATCCAGGGGGTGTTCTTAGCTGTTTAATTGGTTTCTTATGTTCCTATGCTATCCTAACATCATTAGTCCCGATAGTGTAGTGACGTTTTATCCCGGAAGTGGCGGTGTTCCTCTCTGCTGATAGTGAGATCCGGTGCTGACCTATACATCGGCGTGCGGGGGAATTCACCACCAGTTCAAGTTTTATTGATAGTGTAGTATAAGTGTGTGTAAGGGGAGGTGATAAGAAAAAGAAAAGGAAGGAACGATCGCGCTAATCTATGGTCCATTTGCTAGGATTCTGCTCCGACCTTCGCACGCTACTGATCGCAAAAACCACTGAAAATTACTGATAATCACAACCGGTTGCTAGAATTCTCCAGACGACAGCTTAATTCCACCCAGCTATCTGGCTTGTGTTGAAAATCCGCCAGCGTCGAGAGTCGAACCCTAGGACCCGACCTGTCAGAGAGAGTGGCTCTAAGCTTAACTCAGCTGGTGATTAGTTCGTCGTGACAGTTTTAATGCTCCGCGAGTGACGAAACATTTGGCAAAGGCATTTGCAATTTCAAAATAGTGTGCATGACACAAATATACTTGTAAATGTGTGGCTTCTATGGATATTCGTTTTACTTCCAGACCCTTCTCTGAATACGTGTGTCGGACGTACACGCAAAATAATTGACAATAATTAGTTGAAAAATGCTGAAACATTTTCCATTCTTTATTAGCCTAATGAGCAACGTGGACTTCTCAAGAACTAATGAGTGAAATGAAAGACGACTGTGTTCTATATCGACACGCCTCAAAACATTACTATGCCCGAGCGCGGGAGTCAGAGTGAGATAGCTGGAGGAGAAAAGAGAGGGAAATAGTTGGCGGGGGAGAACAGGATGGAAAGATAAGAGTAGGAGTAATCATGAAGGGAAAAAAATAAAAGGAAGGGCAGATTGGGTTGCTGGACTTGGACATCCTTTCTATGTATTATACCGCACGATATTTTGAGCCCCGGAGTACCTAAAGTCATTCCTTAACCAACATTAGTTGAATTAAGAATAAATAATAGCAACAAGCGTAGACAAAATCTGATAACCAGAAACGTTTGCTCCCGTGCAATAGAAACTATTTTGCATCGAAAAAGGATTTACAAATTTGATGCAAAATTCTAAACAACCCAACTCCCCGCTCCTCGCGCATCAAACGAAGCGAGGACTCAAGAACACGTTCGTGGATAAAACTTGGATCTACGTACAAGCTAAGCCTCGTGTTGGGTGGGGGCGATGGACCGAAGTTCGCAGATTGTGCGCTGACTGCGCAGCAGACGTCCGCAAATACCGGATGAGTTTGCGAACGGCGCGAGGCGATGCGGTGCGTACGAGCCTTGGGGCGACGGATCTCTGAGAAGCAGCCATTTGGTCCAAACTTCGTTATCCCGAAGAAGTGATGACCGGATAATCAGACTGTGGTACGTGTGCTCCCAGATACGCAACTTGAATGAGACTCGTTGTACTTTCATATCGGGGAGGTGGCTCAGGGTAGCAACTGATGTCGCTGCGGTGTCTCTGAACGGGATGTCCTAGGTTGGAGTTAGTAGTGAAACGAAATGAAAGCTGGCCCATCCGCCAAACTTTTATCCGGACCCCCTTTCTAAACGTGTATAGCAAACACAAGTAGTGTTCGTACTTTAAATAATAAACATATTCCCTAAAAATAGGCCCCTTTTTAACTGGGCCCGCGTGCATTGCAGGCCATGCGGGCCCGCACGTTACGTCACTGAATGGAGTCCCGATGGTGGCAGGATTTTCGACACAGCTTGATTGCGAGGTCGAATACAGTCGCTGTCTGGAGGAGAGTTCTAGCGGTCGGCTGTTCTGATGGGTAGTTTTCCGTGGTTTCTTCGATCAACACCAGGCGAATGCCGGGGCAGTGCCATTACTAAACGGGCCACGGACTGCGCGCGATATTTCCTTCCTCTTCCTTGCCCTAACCTCATTCCGTGCTTACACTTACACGCACTACAGCAGGCACGTCATATGGCGCCCGTACGAACTACTTGCCTGCCAGGGAAGCCCGGCGCTCCTATGGGCTCGGGCAACTTCCCGTGACTCCGCTCTCATTTCCCCTCCAAATCCAGAAAGGGGTGTACACGCTCAAGCTGAAGCGCCACGCTGCGGGAAATTAGTGGTTTTATATATTTGCCTATTTTTTCTACCAAATAACCGAGAATTGTACAATGTTTACATCCACTACTTTTTTCAATTTCGTATTTATTTTCCTTAATAAATTCTCCCTTACATAAACATCATTGCTAAGTGACAGGAATATATTTGAATGGCGAATTCTTTCCTTGCTTTCGTTTTGTCTTGTGTTATTAAATCATTCACTTGTTTATTGCATTTAGCAATAATGTGAAGTAAATTTGTCAAGTTAGCAATTCTCGTTTACGGACGGACAGCGCTTTTAAGAGACAATAATATTTGTCTGTTAAACTTCCTTACCTAATCATAGAAAGTTAATGTTTTTATATCAGTCGTAAGTAAACCGTATTAAGATATTTTTGATTCATTTTTAAAAAAAATTACTCTCAAGTGAGAATTTGAAATCTGACTGATGTAGTATTTCATTTAAATGGATCATTTCTTTGCTTTAAGGAGAAAATGTGAATTAATGTAACTAAATTTATGACAAGAGCTGTCAAGTAGCTTCTCCCAAAGACTGTCATGAACCAGGTATCCAGTGACTTACCACAACTTCGTAGCGATTTGTACAACTCTTACTTTTAAATCTCGCGTCAATTTCTCTGGACACAGTGTCAACGAGCACTTGTAAGCTTGTTTCTTTGATGTGCCTGCACTACACTACCACACATACTAAGAGACCGGTCGGGAGCTTACAGCTTGTTTCGGCTGAGGCGGTGGGGGCTGCCTGTGGGGAAAACCGCGCTAGCTGACGGTTGGTCGGCGGCGGTTCTCGCCATCCAGTGGGGGAAGATCACCGTCACCTCCCGAGGACATGTACAGCACTTACGGGACTAATGACCTTAGTAGTTGAAGCGCCCGGAATCACCAATAAATCAATGTGAACATACGTGGGAAGATATGAATAAATGGTTCTCATCCCTTATCCCACCCCACGTGAAGGAATCGACTTACTACTCCAAAACGTCGAAGTGACGTATTCTAAGCTAATACGTTTAGGGCCCAGTTGACACTTCGCTACGCGTGTACAATTTGTCAGCGAGGCTTCGGCCGTCGGATCGGCCTCCGCGATTAAACACAAAATGATCAAAACAGCTTTGAGTCAGAACAATGCATAATTTCCGACACAATTTATGCCAGAATACTTCGTTTTCCTACATCACGGCGCTTCGCTATGGTTATTTGATATTGCGACGTTCGGTGTAAATTCGTGCGCGGGGGAAGTGATGTTGAGGGTAAGGATCCAAACATTTTCACTATTGCCCGATTTAAATATAGTGACTTGCCACGTATCATATCGACGCGGTAATCCAATCGGGAGCTTCATGTTTTTGTTTTGATTTTACTTTCTCCTGTACATACGTATATACGAAGTAAAGTAAGTCGGGAGCTGACTTGTTTGCTTGCGGGGAGCGGTCTTTGACTTTTTTTTCATATTATCGTGTGCCGTTTCAATTTTTGCCTATTAACACTTGGGGCAATCGTATACTTGGGACAGCTAATACTTGCGTGTTTTCTTTGTTCAAAACGTCCGTCCTCCGTCGTATGTGAACAATACTAGCGCCTAAACCTTTTATAGGCTTTAAAAAAAAAATCGGCTGTCGATTTGGCCTCACTCAAAGCTCTACGAGTTTTAGAAACATTCTTAAAACTTTGGGGACACTTTTCACCAAGCTTCTGGGACATTCTCAGAAATGGCTCCTCATCTTTTCTTTAAATTTTTTGTAATAATAGAGTGAAATACACGTATAAAGATAGCATATGTCTCATTTTCACTCTTAATTCTGTTAAAGGTTCGAAAATTACAAAAGTTTGAATTTTTCGACATCTTCCTACAACTTCAACATTGAAGATAGCGATTTTTACTTCAAATGAAATTTGTTTTTCATAATTAGTTATTTCATTGACGCCATGCACATTGTTTAAAACTTTTGGTAGTTTTCACGCAATTTTGAGTTGTATATGTGCAAAATTAAAAAAATATAAGGGAGAATTTTTTTAAAAAACTACTCCATATTGATTTTCAATGAATTTTCTCCGAAACTCAAAACTTTTCTTCAAACAGAGTTTCAAATTTCCCATTTATAATTTTTTAATGACATTTGCTCAAATGCTGCTCCATTTTTTCAACGAAAATGTCCGTATTTGATGTGGTTTTGTTCTTCTATAGTATTCTCAGTCATATTTAAGGTATCATTAGGAGAAATTGCATTTACACACGCGCACACACACACACACACACATGTATATATATATATATATATATATATATATATATATACATATACATACATTTACAGTAATGGTACCACCGCCTAAGTTCGATGTAATATAACTTCTCACAGACGGCAGGTGAGCGCACTAACAGTGGAGGGGATACAAAACGTGTCGGGTGAAAGCGGAAAACGGTGCAGAATTGAAATGATATATCGGACGCCCAAAAGGACATAGTTATTAGCTTTCGAGCAAAGGGCGGAATCGTTTCCGAAATGGCTGAGTTTGTAAAGTGTTTGTGTGCCGCCGTGGTTAAAGTATAACGAGCATTGCAGAATTGCGGTATCCGAAATCGATATCGAAGCAACCGTGGTTCTCCACGGCCATAGGTGCCAGGGGAAAACGACGGCGGAGTTGTTGAGAGGCGGATAGTCATGCAAATGTAGAGCAACTGACCACCCAGATGAACCCAGGGGCTACCGACAAGATCTCAACAACGGTTTAGTGAACGTTCCTGCTTGACGCGTATGGGTCTCCGCAACAGGCGCCCATGCTGACGGCTGTTCGTCGGTGACGGAGGTTGGAATTTGCACGCCTACAAGTATTTCGCAACTGGACGTCCATTGAGTGGCGATACGTGTCCTTTTCAGATAAATCACGTTTTCTACTCCATCGAACAGATGTTCGTTGACGTGTACGGCGTGAAACGTGTGAACGTGAACACCTTGCAACAATCGCCGGAAGGGTGCAGGCCGGAGGAGGAGGCGTCATGGAGTTGGGACTGTTTTCGTGTCATTCATTGAGAGATCTCTTCGTTCTGGTAGGCACAAAGGTTCAACAAAGGTGTGCCGCCATCCTTGGGAGCCATGCCCACCCCTATATGCAGACCGTTTTCCCTCAGCAAGACGGTATCTACTGGTGAAACAATGCAACATGTCATACAACTCACGATGTGTGTTTCTAAGAGCACCAGGATGAGTTTACAGTACTCCCCTGCCCACCTAATTCCCTCAATTAAACCCCAATCGAGAATCTGTGGAACCTCTCGATCGGGCTGTTCGCGCCATGGATCTGAAAACGAGGAACCTGATGCAGCTGACTACGGCACTGGGGTCGGCCCATACACGATATACTTGTATATGTATAGCATATTACTATTATAATATGTATGTATGTATACATATACATACATACATATTATAATAGTATATACATTATTCGTGTAAAGGCCACTTCTGACCATGCTACACATTTCTCTCCGAGGCCCTGTTGTATTCTATCCTGGTGAGATCAACGTGCGGAATTATGGGTATCAGCCTTTCGGCTGCATCCCTTGGTTAAGACAAGGTTGTTAGCCTTGAATATCAAATACGGGGGAAAGGATATTATTATTATCACAACTATCATTATTGCCAGAATTACTATTATTGTTGTTATAGGGTGATGAGATGTGAAAGGACTAGGGATTATGGTATAAGGTGTTAGGTGGTTAGGGGTAGTGGGAGGTGTTCGTGGGGTTTTGGAACCATCGCAGCATTCGCCTTGTGACTGAGGTAAACCACCACGGATGACCAGGACAGGAATAGTCAGGACTCCGATGCGAAGACAAATGCTTAGGCACCGAGACACTATTACGCTATATATAATATATTATTAGTATAATTTTTAAAGATATCATATTATACTATAAGTATATAATATATTATAGTCGTCTTCAGGCAAGCTAGAATACCCCGCTACACCCAACTGCGTCGGCGAAAGCCAGAGCAGATCATCGGGGCACAGGCTGCCCGATAACTTACCTCAGAAAACAGCGCATCTGTTATTTGCGGACGCGGCATGACGGCTGCAAACTTCTAGTGTACTGGAAAACCGCTGAAGGTTTCACTCTGACGTTCAGCCAACCCTTTAATAGAGAGCAGCCTTGACCAATCTTTCTTCTTTCTTACGAGACGCCGAGTAAAATACAGTCGCAGTGAAACAGGGACTATGACATTAGAGCCGTGAGCGCAGTTCAGAATTCCGGGTAGTAAAGTTAGGAAGTTGTAATATCCGACGAGTGCTCAGCAGTTTTTTTGAACTTGGCGATGTAGAAGAGATCTTTGGAAATTAGGCAGAATTCAATAGTGGTGCCGCAGTTATTCGAACTGGGTTGAGTGATAGGAGATTTGGGGCGGATATAATAGTAGTCGAGAGGAAGAAGAGCTAGATTATCACGATGCGTTACAAGACTTTCAATTGGGCAACAGAAGTCTAAAGTGTTCCTTCCCAATCCACTACCAGGATTGAGGCCAGGATTGAACATCACGCGTCGGTGTGCTACTGAAGCCGAAGACGAGGACGTAAGGGCCAAGCAAGAAGAGCGTAGGAGCCGATTCCGAGGGAAGGAAGACCTGGGCGTCAGCGTTGGCGCAACGTCGAGGACATTTGAAGAGGAGTGCGGAGCGACGGCGGCCGAATCTGGGGCAAGGGGATGCGACAGCGAAGATGTCAGGTTTGCGAGCCACGAATTGTGAGTGTGACCGCAGGTAACAAATTTTGTGAAGGAATTGAGAGCAGGCAGAGTCACGAATGCAAGATCAATAGCGGAAGGCTACAGTTCTAAATTTGCATAATCACGTAGATTGTCGTACGAACTAGATCATGGCAAAATAACTGAAAGAGAACCTTTTGCGCCAGTAATAAAGTTCACTCATGTGTTATATTTTACGACAGAAGCAGTGTAAATATTTGTTCATTACTGTGTAATCTTGTCGAGGAAATTAACTGTGAATAGTTGTTGTAGGATAAGTCATTCAATAATTTGTTGCGATTATTAAAATCTAAGATTTGTATAGAACTAAGGAATTTAATGTGTTGTACTTATCAGTTAAAGGGATTTCATATTTTGTTACTTACAAACGGTTGCCAAGCAGTAGTTACCGTGCAAGGGCATTTTTTGTAAATAGTAATGGATTGGGAAGGAATATTCGAGTCAAAGTTAACAAACAATGTAAAGTTTCAAAGTGTATGAAGGGTAATTTAATTGTATTTATACATGTGTGTCATTTGCTATCTTGTCTTTGTATTTCGTTCAGTGCTGTTATATATGGGGACATATTCTGGAGAGAATACACGCACGTTTTACCTCAATTTGTGTTTGAGTGTAAAATCTTTCCTCATTATCCCAAAACATCCTGCCCCTTGAGATTTCAGAGCTAATTAGAGCGCTTCGTCTATGCCTGCCATGATAAGACGTACATATATATATATATATATATATATATATATATGTATGTATGCAAGGTAAGTTTTGTCTTTTGTCCCGTAACGTCACAGTCAGTCAATGTCTTTTATCTCTTTGGTTAGGGACTCTGCGCCGATAATAATCGGGGTTCCCAGACGGTTACCTGTACAGGAATTCGTGGTATCTCGACATATCGAAGCATTTCGGCTAACGACGATGACTAACGTCGTCGTTTCGACTTTAATTTTAGTTAATATCTAAGTTTCCGATTATGTAACCGTGTCTCAACTGATGTAATAAGTCTCTTTATTTAAATCGTACAATTTTAAACTGAAAAGTAAGTACTTCTTCAGTGTTCTCTGACGTCATTTTGTATCTCTTCAAATTGAGTTTTGCACACTTGTCAAGACCAAACATCATGCAGATGTCATTGCTTAAATCATTCACGACTGACAGCTATTTGGAGAGTATCGTTCCATTCTTAGCAAACAGTTTAAGATTATTCATGTAAAACAAATATAATAGTCTTTCATCACAATGGAGCTTGTAACCAAAGTCAGAGTGCGTTTACTGTCTAGATATTGGGATCAAAGTAATGCAAAACAGTAGAGGGAATAGCGAATCTCCTTGAAACATTCCCCTGTTAATCTGAAGACTTCTTTTTTCTACTATTTCCTTTCCTCTGTATATTAGCAACTTGGTACCCCATGACTTCATACGAACTAGCCCTGCATGTTCGTACTAGCCCTGCATAATTGTCTAACTCAATTAGTTTAGGATGAAATCGAGACATCTCCATCTTCTTTGAAATCCAGTTGTGTGGTACACTGTCTAAGGTCTTCTGGAAGTCAATGCAAGCCATTCTTAAATTATTATTATTATTATTATTATTATTATTATTATTATTATTATTATTATTATTATTATTTGGGTATCGACCATTTCTGACCACGGTACACGTTCACTCCCTATGCCCAGTCATACTCCCACGTACATATTGGGGCCCTGGCCTTCGCATTCCGGATGTTGATAGAAGCGCTGTATGAACGATCGTGTTTCGCTTTGACATTTCGCGCCATTACAGTGTGCCGTGGCTTTAGAACCAAAATAAAAAGACGTGGATCGCTTACATACGCCTAGAGAAGGCGCCTTAACACAGGAAAAGTAGACGATATCTAACTAGAGGTGCACCACGGCACATACTTTCTTGTTAAAGTATGTTACCGTTAACAAATATATCACTTTCTGGCTTTTTTACACTTCAAATATAATTTTATCTCGTAAATAAATGAAGTCTGAAAAACAGAATTGATTATTCAAAATTTAAAATGAAAAATGTTCCTGGCATTGCATTAAGTGTATCAAGGTATTTACGAACATATCCGATGCGTATTTTAAAATATTCTGCATATGCCAGCGCGGCGTTGATAAATGAACAATTGCCGAATTTAACATATAAACCGAACATTCCAAACTAAAGGCCATCTAATATATCTCATTATGAATGTATTCGAAATTTTGATATCATTACGTTATACATATCTGTATATACATTCACCCTGAATCAGAGCTGTACGCTTTGAGGAAGGCCACAACATGGACGACACGTCAGCCACCACGCCAGAGACGCGGCTCGTGTTGGATAGTGTAGCGTCGTGCCACACTTTAAACAGACAACCACGTGGAAATCGACGAAGCATCACCGGATGTTAAACACTGGGCGGAGTGATGGCGCACTGGGACTTTCCGTGGACGTAGCGGGCCCAGAGCGGCTTTGTGGAGGAGGCAATGGGGGCGGCGGGTAGAGCCAAAAGGGCCTATATAAGGCCAGGAGAACAATGCCCCAGTCTCCTTGTTCTAGCGGCGTCGGCGACAGGTGAAGCGCGTGTCTGTGCGTGTTTGTGCACTAGGGCGAGGGGCCAGCAATTCATTGTCGTGACTTGCGAGACGCGTAGATGGTCTGAAAGTAGAGCGGCTTCATACAGGGAACATCAGTGGTAAGTTGCGGTGTGGTAGCCGTTCTTAATTTATCTCTCCTTGTTGTGGGTCTATTTATTTAGTTTATTGTGTGCAGGGTAGTTGTTAAATTGAGACTACGGTCTAGATTGTTAATAAATCTACTATTTTACAAACCACTCTCGTCTGTGTTCAATTACACCCGTATGACGCCACAATAGCAGGAGTGTTCAACTTGCAAGGCATTGAGGGCCACAACTTATACCTTTTACATGGTTGCGGGCCATATTTACATTATTCGGGCAATCTACACCTGATTTCCCGAAATTGTTGTTCTCGGCAGTTTACCCGGCTGCTCAGAAAGTGGGAGGGGGAGGGGAAAGGGACTGTGGGGGGGACCATGCGTGATATCAGGCCGCAACATACATAACGCATTGAAACACGTTGGGGTGATTTTCAATTTCCGAATTAACTAGAAAAAATCTTAAATATAAGCTTATCCTATTTTTACATTATGGGGGTGTTGATTCCGTTCGGGAGCGTTCTCTAGGCACCCAATTTTCTCGCCCGACCTGGATGCAAGGAATTTTTCACTGTTGGCAAATACCCTTTCGCGGGTCACAATAAATGGCTCCTCGCGACGCCAGTTGGGCAGCCCTGGCCTAGTCCAGCTGGCGGCCCGCGGTGCCGTTTATTGTGGCCCGTGAAAGGTTTCTACTCAAAAGTTAAAATCCCGTGCATCCATATCGAGCGAGAACATAGCGCGCTTGGCGCATGCGCCCTGTCGGAGTCAACACCCGTTTGGATTTAAGAATTTTTTTAAATAAATTCAGAAATTCAAAATCATCCCGTTTCACTGGGTTACGCATGCTATTGTCTAATATCACTCATGCTTAAATTCTCCCTCTTCTGTTTCAGAACAGTCAGGCAAAGTGCCGATATCAACAAAAGTGAAAAGTCAGGTGTGGATCGCCCTAGTAATGAAAAATGGCCCGTAACCAAATGAAAGGTTATAGTAGTGACCCTTGAGACCCTGCAAGTTGGATACCCCTGGCCTAGAAAATATAAAAACTCCAGCCGCGGAAGCCCTCGCAATCATTATACTCAGGGATTCATCCTCTTTCTCTGGGAGTAGGGTTGGGAAGAGATTCGTGGTTCGTTGCCTGGCGTTGGGACGTCCCAACACCTCCCTGCGATCGATCGGACGTAAACATGAAAAAGGACGATCAGTGGGGGTCCGACCCACGCTGGACCTGAGCTGTTTCTTAAACACTTTGACCTTCTCGGCACTCGCTTACATTCGCATGAAAAACTGCACTCGTTCAGCTTTCTCTTTGGTGTACGGTCCTCGTGGTGCAGAAAATGAACCCATGCAATTTTCACTCGTTTTCCCTAACTCTATAATCAGCGCGGTTTACTTTCTGACTTCTTACTGCTGAATCAAATTTTTATCTTCAGAATGAAATACGTACTATTTACTGGTACGTTCATAGCAATGCTTTTGTTACCCATGTGAGCAAAGTCATGTGTATTTGGACTACGATTTGATTGTCACTCATAACAGTTTCGCTGTAGTGACGTTTATGTAATGTAAGCTAGAGAAGCGATGGTTTCCTAAAAACATGCAAAAAGAATTGCTATTTGTGAAATTCCCCCAATTCTTTGGCATCCCAATAATAGAACAAAAATATAACTTTAAGAACAATTTAATGCATGTTATAGCGGGTTACAGGCTTATGTAGGGGGAGGTGCTTACTAAACTAACCTTACGTACTAAACTTACACGCGATACTTGGTTCTAGACTTACATCTTCTACATAATTTTACACATATACATATTTACATACGTGAATAGTTCAGAATGTATTTTATTCGCAAGGAGAGAGGGAGACATTGTTTAAATTCTACAAAAGGTACTAACGAAGAGTTTCTTGCGAGTATTCGCCGTTTAAAACAGAGGATGAATTAATTTCTGGTGACCTGGAGCGTCCAATCGGGAGCTTCAACTTCAAAAGTTAAGTCGTGACGAAGCTTCCGATTGATAACCGCTTCCCAACTGATCGCTGCCAATTCGCCCTACGTTTTTATCACAGTGTAGGTTCTTACAATTTGCGGTGCACGCGTGCTCTGGGCTGGGGAG